TAAAAAAAGGTTCAACAAATTACCAATTAATTTAAATAAAATGGCCTATTAAACCTCACAAAATTGCCATAGTCTAAAGTGTATTTTTGTTAAACAATATTGTTGCAGTCAAGAATAGAATCAAGTTACGAAAAGTAAAAGTGTTTCATTTTTGAGAGGTCTTTTTAGAATGGTGAATGTTATTCGTAATATCTTGCGTAAACTGTAATTTTATGGGTACAGTAATTACGATTGCCTTCTTCTGTGCTTTATTTAAAAGCGCTTTACAGTTTGGCTTGAATAATATAGTTCGCGATGGATTTTGTTATTTAAAAATTTTAATTTTCAATTGATAGGTACCTACTATTTAATTGAAACCAAGTATCAACATATTGGGCAGAAAATGCTATGTGAAATTGAAAAAGAACTACAGGGAATTTCAAAGCTTGAATAAGCAATGGCAAATTTTCCACCCTAAAAGTATTACCAAATAGTATCTCCAATATTTTACATGATTTGGTATTTTTGTGAATTGATAAAATAAGATAATCACAAATATCCACGTCTCGCAATTGAGTTTATGTCTTGGCATCAATAGGTTAAATATCTTTTTACAAAATATCCATATGCCATATTACAGACAAAATACAGAACTAAAAAAGCTAAATATTTCAATGAAATTGTAATTAGTTTATAGTTGGGCCACCGAACAGAGATAGTAATAAAACCGAGCAATCAACCTTTGAGGGGCTTGACAGGCAATAGACGAGAGGATTTATACCCAATTTATATTTTCTTATAATAATTTTTTTTAATTAAATTCATGAATTCATATTTTATGAGGCAATATATGCATGCATAAAGGGTTTCATTTGACATTCACATTCCAATGGGCCACTTTCACATTTTTCAAAAACATTTTTAAATTATTCTTTTAGTCATTCTAATACTATCTGTATACTTTTTTTCCGAAAAAAAACGCTTATTTTTGAAAAAAAATATATTTAAAAATCGAATTTTTAAACTGGCGTAAAAAAATGAACTTGGTGTGTGACGTCACACACCAGAAAATCAAGGATGCCAAATTTCTCATTAGTAAATCATTACATATTTCACTAGCTAGAAAATATTTTCGTCCTTTACTACATTATAAAAAAATAAAGGATAGGTATAATCCTTATTAACTCATTTAAATTTTCATTTCTACATGTGGCAACAAAAATGTCAAAATCGACTTTAGCCAATCACAGAGCGTTTTCAATCACGTGATTTTTCGTTCAAATTTTTAGTTTTTATTTATTAATTTATTCAATAATCTGACTAAAATCTTGCAAAATATTGTTCATTCTTGGTTGCATTGATGTATCTGCGTCAAAAAGTATTATAATTTGCCATATTCCCGGCACGTGAAAGTGGCCCATTACTAAATTATTTTGAGTTAAAATAAATAAATGAGAGCCAAACAAAATCAGTTTCAAAGGCGCTCCACTATGAAAATGTCTGCTTTTAAGAGGGTGTCGGGATTATTTATGGGGGCCAGTTACCAGGTAATCGTTTTATTACTATCTCTGTTCGGTGGCCCGACTATAGTAAATATCCACTAGTTCGAACTTTCTTACAATTTTTTTCGTAAGCCCTTACTTAGTTTAATTATATATCAGCAAGATGGTTCAATTCACAGATTTCATTTCAATTGTGCTTTAAAATTTCGAGCTCAAGAATATTCAAGCTCTGAACTTTTTCAATGAAATTTTATTTTAAATCTATGAGTACATACTTATATTATTTTAACGTTTCTAAAATATTTTGTGATTCATTAAAAATCCGTCGCGACCGTGGTGGAACAATCTCTAAAACAGAAACTTAGTTTCGCAAAGGAGAAACGTTAATAAAATTATTATTTTCAAGCAAAGCTTGCATCAGTTTATGCTTGGAAATGGTCCAAATTTATAATTTTAATTACAACTTGTTTCCTAATAACCAACATTTACTGTCTGCTATATTTCCAAACGTTTATGATTTTGATTAATTAACTATTGGCGCGATACATTTCACTCCTTATTTTTACAATATCTACTCAATTGGTGATTTTTTTCTAAAATTCGCAATTAACGATTGTGTTGATTATTCAATTCGATTATGATTTGTTATGTTTGCAAAGGAATGCACCTTGAGTCTTGATTTTTCCTCGGATTGTTCTGTATGAGGTAGAAAGTACCCCAGTAGGTACCTACTGCATAATAAATATAAATGATGGTTTCCAGGGGACTTATGACCGGTTTAAAGTTAGTATTAAACATTTTTTTTTGAGTTTTTCGTCTCTATGTTTTTCCTCTATTTTCGAAGCACAAGTGAACGGAGGTACCTACCTATTATCAACAAGAAATTGTCAAGTGACGGTCAAAGATAATCTCAAGAAAATCGTGTTTTCCCTTTATTTTTGGAGGATAAGTGGATGGGTAATTCAACCTACCCACAGAAGTAAATTTACTTAGAAGTCTTCTAAGATAGGAAAACTCTCCAGAACATAAAAAAAATCGACTTTTCGGATTTTTTTGTCTCCTAGTAAAAAAAATATCACTATTAATTTTTTATCTTCAACTTCGTGTTTCTTTTTTAAATTTAGGGGACAAGGTGAAGAAGGGCTAACTCAATCTTTTCATAAACGGAAATTCACTTAGCGGCCGTGTAATTTAGAAAAATTACCCCAAATATTAGGGACAACTTATTTTTTGCCAATTTTTCCTCCAAAAAAAAAGAATTGGTTAAAAAATATTTTTCTAATATTTTTATTATACTTGGCTGGTTTTTCTACCCCAAACGGTCGGTATAATAATTTCCGCTCGCGGGAAGCAAGAGTCAACAATACGAAGGTAAAACACAATCTAGAAACTTCTGTTCTTTATTACTATCGCAAATATGACAAAGATATGGAAAAAATCCGGTTTATTAATGTTTTACCCCTAGAATTAGAGATAAAAAACAATATGGGGAACAGAAACAGAAGAAATTGGGATTTTAATTTACGTTTGTGAGAGGATTGAGTAATATCTTCTCTACATGTGCTCCAAATATGGAGATGGAAGACGATCTGGTCAGTTAGCCAGTCAATAGAGAGTCAGTCAACATTAAATAGAGGCCTAGTTTATGTTTTCAAATAAATATTCTCCATATTTCCCCTTTACTGTTTCTGCAGAAAATTCAGTGGGGTTAGATCACACGATCTTGCAGGCCAAATATAAATTTCGAAAGATAAGACAGCCCTCAGAAAAACGTGTCCGATATAAACTCAATGTCGATAGTCAACGACAGGTCTTCATTTAAAAGACTGCCATTTGGATGACAATACAACTTCTGACACTACGTGTCATTTTTCTGTTGTCGTTTCTTTGATGTGTTAAAGGAGGAAAAACACAGTCTGAGCATTTCGAATAAGTTAAAATTATAATGAGTCCATTGTTGCTACTGCCACACGACGAGAGATTGGGATTGACTTTATTAGGGTTACGGACACGGTTTCTTGAATTTATTACATTAATTGATTGCAGGACCTAACCTGCTCTGTATTTCTTTTTTGGTTTTGCCAAAGATAATGAACCTATGCAAACAATATCTAATCTAGCCGAGTAATAACTTAATAAAGCAAAACATTCGTCAACCTCAAGCTCAAGGAAGCATTAGCTCTACCGATCTGGTATTGAACAAATTTATTTTAATCAAAGCTGTCCAGACTGTTAACAACAAACTCTAGTTAAAGACTAAGAGCTTTATTTTATGCTTAATACGTCTGTGAAAAATAAATTTTATTCCGTCATCTGCAGATCCCAGAGATCAATCTAAGATAGGTACTCTACCTAGACAAAAAATTATCCCATGCAGGAAAAGCTGAGGGGGAAATTTGGAGGAAATTTTTTTCAATACATAAACTTCCATATGCTCCTATTTTATATTAGAACAAAATACCTAACAAACAAACTTGATGGTTTTCAGAAACCAATAATTTTATTTAAAAGTTAAATCATTTAGTTTCTATTGGTCCACTCTTTACGGCATATTATAGTACCTACTTCGATTTATTTCTAGGTTTATTGGACCTCATTTTGCACAGGATTTTATCAACTTACATTCTCGAATGAAAAAGTTTGGTTGATGGCGGATCTAATACATATTTCAATGAAATTTTGTACGTTTGCCATTTTGGCTGAACCAAAGTTAGGAATAGATTCTTGATACAAGACGGGCATAGTTTTTTTTTTGTCATAAAATAAATAAATATGATCTTGGTCTCATTTGAAAGCTTATCCAGAATTTATGTTTGAATAATTATGATGTTTAAAGAATTTGAAAGGAAAAATACTGAAAGCAGTCGAAGAAAGGCTAAAACCCTTAACATGAACAATAAGTAAAACAAGTTTTATGTAATTTTCTTCGCTTCCAGAACGTCTCCACTTTCAAATTTAAGGAAAAGTTACTCAGTACCATACTCATCAAAAGGGATTAGCAACTATTTAATTCTGTCATTTTGTAAGTATTTTTATCGATTCATAAAGGTTCAATACCTACTGGAACAATTAATAATATCTTAAGACATCTAAGACAGATTGACTCATTGAATGGTTTGTTAATTGATAGAAAGGATAAATTGCCAAATTGCTTAGTTTACTTTAATTGTTTAATTTCATTCTCGTTTAGTTTAAATTGAAAAGTGAAACCAATTTTTCTGAAATTACTTTAAAATAGGTACCAAACAATATAGCGTACTAATTACATTGGGTAACATTTCTATTTAAAGTAAATGGTTATGTAAGAGATAGAAATGCAAGTTACATAATATCAGAAATTGAAAGCTCAGTGGTGTTGTCGGAGTTGCACGAGGCGCGCCATAATAATGCGCAATCCCAGGCATTGCATCGCAGCAAAGCAGGAGAAAATCAACAAGTGGTCGATTGGGAAATCATGAGCCAGCAGCGCGGGAAAGTAGGTACAGGCAGTACTGGCACTTTGAAGCCTTTTCGACTTACCGGCAAATAGAATAATCCTAAATGAGTGTACCCGGAACAGTGTTATCCAAAGGGTAGCCGCGGGGGTGAGCACCAGGAACACCACCTAAACACCGAGCCATGGCTCCACAAACACTACACAATCCGTCGCTGCCTTCGCGTCGAGTCTATGTATATATTTTTGGGGCACGGGTTTACAGTGCGCTCGATTCGGTTGCCCAACAAATGAAAGTAAAAGTGAACGAATAGAACAGAACGAGCCACGAGCCTTCAAAACGCGACGGCGGCAACTCGACAACGGTCAGTACTTAGATAGTCCCGGAGTCCAGATGGAATATTGGATGATGGAATCGAGTAAGCGCGCCCTAGCCGACTAAAATTTGCTCAAGTTACTCAAAATAAGTCGGGTTTAGTGGATCGCCTTTAATTTCTCCCTTTACTTTCCCCTCTTTTCTTCCTCCCACTCTCTATTTCCTCTCGCTAACTTGTTCTTTCTTCGCAGATTTCAAGGTTAAACTGCGACGGGCTACGGGCTGTCCCGTCGAGTACTACAACCATTCTATTCGATTGAGCGCGCTTTGATTTTGCTGCTGGACTATATGACGATGGCCCCTAACTCCACACGTTCTATTTCGGTAATGGTTAAACGCGCCTTCGCCTTTTTACGCTTACCAACGGATTGGCACCCGTATTTTGCATTGGCGTTACGCTCGGCTCGAAGTAGGCATTTGCTTTCACCAACAACTTAGCCAAGGAGACTCGTCTCGGCAATCAACGTGGGGCACAAATCGCCCGGTACTTTCACAACACTGATGGCTCGAGTGGGGAACTGTTGTATAATACTGTGAAATAACATTCCTGCAATATGTCCGAGCTTGGGATCTAAATATTTTATTGCATTTTAACAATCTCTGGAACTCATCATCTTAATTTTAGGACAACTGCCCGACTACTTTAATTTGATTTGCTTTGAAATAATTGGCTGTTTTATTGCCGCAACACAGTACCACTGGCTGCATTATTAAATTAACGTGACAATAACAAATTCTGACTCAACGACCAACTATAAACATCGCCCATAATTAGGCCTAATTTAATTTTTATATTATACATATGATAATCAATCCATTATTATACAATGGTGTTAAACTGTTTTTTTTTTTAAATCATTTATACATACCTACCTAATTATTTGTTCCTAGCGATTGTCTTTTTTCTTTTCCACTTTTTATCTTGCATTATCTGGCTTAACCAAGTCCATCTTCAGGCACTTTTATTTCTCCTAAAAGGGTTCATGTATTTTGATTTGTTCCTAGTTAGGTACCTCGTACGTTTACATTTATTTGTAAATCCTATTTATTTTTACGGAATCTCCTTTCAATACTTTGACGCTTTTTGATTTTTGTTGTACAATCTCTTATAGTCTTAGAGTCTGTTGACACTTCAAAAAATTTATAAAGTCGATGTAGTTTGTGTTTGTGAAGTTATTTTGGCCATGGAATGATACTTAGAAGTAGTAAACAAGCGATATTGACGAATCGAACCCAGGGTAAAATCGGGAAACATTTGGTGACTACATCTGACGTACCTATGCCAATCATAAGTGCTGGCGTTATTAGAAATTGCGGAAGAGAAAAGCCAGAAACAAGGGCAGGACTAGCTCCAAAAAAAATAATTAAGATAATATACGACATTTAGAACAGGACCTACATGGGAAAATTTTGCAAGAACAAAGGAATAAACAAATTACAGAAAAAAAAAAGTAAAACGGGACCAGCTCTAAGCAAATTTCAATATACCTAGAATAACTACCAAACAGTATTGTTGAAAAAACGGAAGAAGTTAGAGAGCATTATTGAATACTTATTAAGAAAATTGAAGCTGCAGCTGCAAAATATCCCCAAACGTACAGTGCTCGTTTTTCTTTGGAGCTACTGCAGATCTTCCCTATTCTATCATAAAAAAATTATTCGTCCCAGTCTGAGAGATTTTTCAGAGACCAACCTCGAATTCAGTTCTATTAAACTTCGGTTGAGTTACGACATCAGAAATCTGGCAAAACTCCAGAAATTTGTAGCAGATATCCGCAACCATTCAGAGATGAATACTGCCAATGTGGACGAAAGCGGGGCATTTCAAATTTCAACAGGAATTGCCGAGTAGGTACAATTAAGGACTCACTCACCGTTTCGAGACAAATTTTTAAATAGCAATCAGGAAAAACTACAATTATACTGAGTGTTTTTAGGCACCAGCAATCGGGTGTATCATCGTGACGGAAATCCTTTCATCAGAATCAACTTTTTTAATTTTTTTATTTCTTGCGTTTATCGCGATGTTTTTTGTTTCTGATACTTTTTTTTCTTTCACACATATTCTTTCATATTCTAGCACAGTTTATTAAAAAGATATTTACATTCTTATACTTCATATTTTTATCCTATACTTCTTCCTGTTGATATGTAAGGCTGCATAAGTTCGTGTTTGATGTTCTTTTTTTATATTTATGGACCCTATTTTATTTCTCTATGATCTAGTTATTGTTTGTTCTTAAATTGTCAGGCACTTGTGTTGAAAGACTGTACCTATATCAATAATTACCATATTTTTCAGAATAAAAAAATCTAAAAATCTTGTCCCATTTCTTTTGCTATGTGCTATCAATTTTTTCAGTGCTGACATCAAATAAACAAAACAGAAAAATATTCACCTACTTGATGCCCTAACCAGAAAACGCTAATCATTAGGCGTAACATAATTTTACTAAATAAAGACATCAAGTCTTGTGAATCGAGGAAAATGTATGTCATTATTATTAGGTGTAATAGATGCGTCTTCATTTATAATTATACTCTAATTCCTAGGCATCAATCTTTAATAAGTTAGATTCTGTCATATAAAACTATGGTGTTCCAGTGGATTCGATGTAGATAGACTCAATTAACATGTCATAAGATTATTTAATCTACATCATGAGAAAATTTTGGGTTAGTAGGTATTAATTTAAGTGTGTTGGATTTTCGTGGCATGCAGACGTTTCAATTAAAATTGATGAATAATTTTCTTGCCTCGACTAGGATTTGAAACCAGGACCTGCATTTCTAGTGCAACGCTTTACCAACTGAGCTACCAAGACCTGTTTCATTTCTATCTTATCGGTCAAGTCTTTCATCAATTTTAAGTTGTTAGTTGTGAAGACCAACGGCAACCTTCGGCGGTTATCGTTGGTATGGGAGTGAATTAGAAGGTATGAGGGGAACACAATCGCAATTAATGGATGTTTTGGAATCCATTATCCCTTCAACCACGGATGCGTCGCCGTCCCATCACGATACCTGCTGAAGTCGCTATATGTCAACGACGCATCCGTGGTTGAAGGGATAACGGATTCCAAAACAGCCATTATTTGCGATTGTGTTCCCCTTATACCTCCTAACTCACTCCCATACCAACGATAACCGCCGAAGGTTGCCGTTGGTCTTCACAACTAAATACTTAAAATTGATGAAAGACTTGACCGACGAGGTAGAAATGAAACAGGTCTTGGTAGCTCAGTTGGTAGAGCGTTGCACTGGAAATGCGAGGGGCCTGGGTTCAAATCCTAGTTGCGGCAAGAAAAATTTCATCAATTTTAATTGAAACGTCTGCATGCCACGGAAATCCAACACACTTAAATTATATAACAGACGATAAAACTTGCAAAAATTGTAAAAATTATTGGCTTGATATTGATGGTTGGGCGTCCCATCCCGATACCTGCTGAAGTCGCTATATGTCGACGACGCATCCGCGTGGTTGAAGGGATAATGGATTCCAAAACAGCCATTATTTGCGATTGTGTTTCCCTTATACCTTCTAACTCACTCCCATACCAACGATGCACGCCGAAGGTTGCCGTTGGTCTTCACAACTAATAACTTAAAATTGATGAAAAACTTGACAGACAAGATAGAAATGAAATAGGTCTTGGTAGCTCAGTTGGTAGAGCGTTGCACTGGAAATGCGAGGGTCCTGGGTTCAAATCCTAGTCGAGGCAAGAAAAATTTTCATCAAATTTAATTGAAACGTCTGCATGCCACGAAAATCCAACACACTTGAATTATATAACAGACGATAAAAGTTGTAAAAATTGTTAGTATTAATATTTACATTTCAGATTGAATAGGTAAATGAAGAATTATCTGTTGCTGTGGATCAACGATGAAGATGATCTACACCCATTTTTAGCACATTCTAGTTCAAACCCACTCAATATAAATTGGGATCATTATTTAAAAGCAATTATTTGGGTTACTATCATACATAAATAATTTAACCATAGAAGCGCGAAACGAATAATATTTATATTTTTTGTCAAGAGTTGATTCTATCTTTTCGCAGGCCCTGTATAAGTATTTCATAATAATATGTAATAAAATGTCGAATTCGAGGCCAATATTTCGAATTAGCTGGGGTCCAGACAGACATTACGCGATAGTGAAAGTGCTGGTAAAATATGGGCACATTCGCTTTGGCATTGCTGTGTTGGTTCCTTTACTTTATTCATATTTCTATTCGCGAGTTTTGTACTTAGAAGAAGATCCAAAACCAAAACGAAACAAATATTCAAATTTTTTTTCAAACAATAAAAACCTTTGAAATTCGCAGTAAATTACTGTCCACAGTCCTAGAAAGCTACAGACATATTACCCCAAACGCTACTCCGAAGGATATCAAAAAAAACCTGAAACCACCTTTATAGCTAGAAAATATTCTACTGAATCTATGAAGAGAAAATTTCCATTCGTCTTTGAAAAGCGCCAAATTTCTTTTTCTCAAAAATTCTGGAAATGTTTCGGTATTCCGCAAAAACCTGTATCGAAATTTCCAATGGTTCCGAAAACAGATGTAGATAAGACTTCGCTAATTTTTACATCAACCATCACCTGATAAGACCCAATATTTTCTTACTAAAAGCAACATCTAAGAAGAGGAAATCTAAACAGATCCCGAAAATATTATTTTCGAAGAAAAGCTGATTCTACATTGATTTGAATAGATATCAAGGTATATTAGGTAATCATTGAAATACTTGACATTTAAATAAAAATCATTTGGAAATGTCAAACTGATATAAATCCAAATGACTGCAAAGTATGCTTCGCTCTATATTTTTAACAGCACATATCGTTGTTTTTTTTTTTTAACGTTTTCCCATCCATCCAGATCGAATAAAAAATTAAATCTACTCTTCTCGGCACGAGCATAAAAAAGGAGACCCCATATTTTTTATTTGACTTATGTCGCCTTCTTATCTTTAATAATTTCGGTTTTTCACTTGATCGAATGGTTTTCTATGTAAGGAAATTCTTACTTATACTACTTATGGTGTTCTCATTTATGGTATTATTATAAAATATGAAATCACAGAATCGTGGATATCCAACTATTGAACCCCCAAACAACCAAACATTATTCGTTTCGCCCCCCTAAACACGGAAATTACATATAGACCCAAATTGATTTTTTACTGGCCGCTTTCCACTTTTTTCGTGTCGACCTTTTTGTCCATAAGCTTTCTAGTAAAATTTGCATTAAAATTAGAATTACGAAATGCTAGAAATTGTAGCTCTAAGCGCAAAAATGATACAAACTTCAAGACTACTTGTCGTTCAAATGCAATTTTAGAGCGATTTACGAGAGACTATCTAGATATTTCAATAATAAAAGCCAAAAGGAAACAGATTTAGAACAACTTTGTGATTCTAAATGCAATTTTGAACCAAAAATACGAAAGGATCTGTATGACTAATGGACCAATGGATTAATTTTGATTGAAAAGGAGTATAAAATCACGGAAACGTCGTTGGAATGCATTTGTACACCCGCTAAGGACTAAATATTTCAAAAGAAAATGCGAAAAGGAAACACATTTAGAGCTTTTTGTGGTTTTGAATGCAATTTTTAACCAAAATGAATCTGTATGACTTTTAGTTCCAATTATTTTTTGTTAAACGCAGACTTCCAGACTACGTTGGAAGATTTTGATTGATAAGAAGTAAAAAATCACAGAAAATGTAAACGCAATTTTTTTCTCACATTTA